ACCTAGCTACCATTTCCTTCTGGAGGAGCTCCTTTTGGAGGGAGCTTCCTATTTGGAAGGAAATTGTTCCTTTTCTTTGAAGGAAATGGAAGAAGATAATGTTTGGAAAGCTTATTTCCTGCCCTGCTGTTTTTTTCATTAGATTCTACCTAGAGGTAGAGGCTTTTTTACAGCTGTTTTAATTGAAGAGTTGGATATAGAAGAAGAGATTAAGTGTTTTAGGAGCAGCTGGGTGTGGGGGTTTGTGCCAGTCAGTTGGGTTTGGAAGGTGAGTTGGTGAAGCTGAGTCATGCTGCTTTTTTTACAGACTTACAGTGATGTAGCTTCACTTTTGGAAAATGTTTATTTTGGTTTTCATCCTTGTGCATGAGATTTTAGGTGGACACTAAAAGTCTAGATGAAGGTAATAAATAACAAGACTGTAACATCCTCTTAACAGAACAGTCAGGTATGTAGAAAAGTGAGTGAAGTGCATAGAGATGTCAGATGAGAGAAAATTTGGAAAAGAAGCAATAAAAACAGGTGACAGCAGAGGCAAAACACCTCTAGCCTAAGTCTGTCACCTGAAAAGGGTTTTTTTCTCTTACTGTGTTAAGGGTGTTTATTCTTAGTTCCTGCTTTCACTCCATTTTCCATTCAAATGTAAAAAATAACAAGAAACACAAGAACTTAGATAAATAATTTAATTTACCTAAACTATCGGTTTTAACTAGTTAAGAGTCTGTATGTGGACAGGTAAAGAGCCACTGGTCTTCATTGTAATTTAGAGCAGCACTACATCTTTAATTGCTTCTAGAGGCTGACAGTGGTCCTCTTGAGATGCCATTCCACCAATGCAGCATTACCAAAACACAAGTTAGTAAGGCAGATAAAAAACAGGAACTTTGATCTTTATCAGTACTACTATACACCTTTCCCTTTTCTACATCAAGTAATTATATTGTCTCCAAAAGAATAGTTAGTCCCAATATATTCTGAGGTGTTATTATCTGAGCATGGGGATGAAGAGTACAGGAGAAACTTGGTTGTATGGAATTTAGGGTTTAGATATGGATACTAAACCAGTAACCTCTGTTTTGCTTTTATTTACTGAAGCTGAATTTCTTTTATATAGAAATGGCAATGTTGTGTGATGGCCATGGGAATATATGGGAGTACATGGGGAATTAAATGTCTTAATTTTCTGCCAGGATATTCTAGTATGTGAACCACTTGACAGCCTGAGTTTTTTTCAGAAGCTCACTGTCAAAACAGAGGGAGTATTTAAATAGAAAAGCAAGGGTACTTTCTTCTCTTTGGTGTGCTGGTGTGCACGCTTACATACCTCACAGAGAAGTGCAGTAATTCAGAGCTTTGGAACTCAAAAAGCAAGAAAACAATACCAAGATGTGGTCTGGTATAATGCAAAATATCTCTAAAAAATAGTTTTCAAAATGTGTTGGAAGTATTAGTTATTGACTGTTATTTTTGCTGTATGAAGGACGTGAATCTGTATATCAAGTTTGAAAACACTTCTGGGTTGTTTACTGATTCCCCTTGAAAGCCAGATAAGAGCAACTGATTTCATTGTGTCAGCAAAATCAGTTGAAGAGAATGTTCCCAAGATGAATGGAGCACATTTAAATACACTGCCCACATACTGTGAACAGGACATGGCATGAATGGAATGAAGCTGTGTCAGGGGAAGTTTAGGTTGGACACTAGGAAAAGCTTATTTGCTGAGAGGGTGGTTGGTCAATGATACAGGTTCCTCAGGGAAGTGGTCATGGTACTGAGCTTGTTAGACTTGAAGGAGTGTCTGGGCAATGCTTTTAGTCATATGGTTTAGTTTTAGGTAGTTCTGTGAGGAGCAGGGAGTTGGACTTGGTGATCATTGTGAATCTCTCCCACTTTGAGATATCCTGTGATTGTGGGACTATCTCATGCTTTTACCCTCAAATCTGTTCCCTTGTGCAACACAATGCAAATCAGGTCATTATCCTCCATCAAGAGATAATTCCACTTACATGTGCCTATCAGGGTGTATCACTTGCCAAGGAGAGAATGGGGCAGAGCAAATACAAGTAATTATTTAATATTAATAGCCTTACCTACTATGTGCAAAATATGCAATTAAAAAACAGTGCTACATCTGTTCTATGCCCAAATGTTCCTTCTGCTTGTGGAAGCACAGGGAGAGGTGGTTTAGGAGCTATCCTGGTGTCACAAGACCCGCTGCTCTTTTAGCATGTGCAGTGCAATGTGTGATGGTGCCCTCTGCCCACAGAACACACCTTGTCATTAATGACAGCCTTGATAGCTCACCTTAAAGTGCCTTGAGGCTGTGATTCTGTCCTGCAGCTCCAAGGCATGGGCTGGGGGAAGAATTTCCTACCATTCTAATTGGTGAACATGGAAATAGGTTTGGTCGCTAGTAAGCTTTATCTCGAGATAATTATATCAGATTTGTTTTCAATACACATATTTGTTTTTGTCATGACGAGTGTGGAGAAAAGGGTCAGAATTATATATAGGTTATTGTTTAGCATGGATTATTATCTTTATGTTCTTTGTATCCTACGAGCTTGAGTTTGTGTTTACATAAGTCGTTGTCCTGTGTTTGGTAAACAGTTTTAAACGGGGTATCTACAGGATAACATGAGAGGGTGGCTTGCAGTGCTGCCTGTTGTCCTTTCTGGGTTCTCCATATTTTTCTGCAACTGTTCCAGGGGATTTTTTTCATGCTCCTGACTAGTTAACTTCTTGTCTCAAATAATTGTGCAACTGTGATCTCCCCTACAACAAACTTTATAATGCAGATACATTAGAAAAGCCTCTAACTTCTTTGTTCCATGTCTGAACCTACATAAATTCAAACAGAAGTATCATTTTGTGTTGCATTTCAGCCTCGGCAGTCGGTGCCGAGCATTGCTGTCACGCCTTCCCCTCTCCCCAGCCGGGGGGCTCTTGCTGTGCAGGCAGAGCCAGCAAAGGGCGGGTTAAAAACCGGCTGCAGGGACTGTCTGAGTGGTCGATCATCAGAAATAACCCTAAGGGAGGGGGAGAAAAAAAAAAAAGCAGAAGGTAAAACCTACGAGCAGGTCTTCTCTCCTGAATGCAGGAGATGAACCGGGACCGTTTTGAGCTGCCCTGCAGATGGCAGCATTGAGCAATTTATGTTTCAGACTTGGCTCGCAACACTTGTTTCCTACTAACGAGGTGAACTTACGCGTGCGGTGCGTTTCAGCACCGTAAACTCCAGATCGCGTTGGAGATGGGGTTTAATTTAGCATATAATGATTCAGGGAAACGCAGTTTAACTGCTTGACACGGGGAAAACTTGGGAGGGCCCTTCCCGGCCGCCCTGCCCGGCCCATGCGGCAGGGACTGCGCTCGGGAAGGACCGCGCTGGCACCGCGGGACGCGGCGCTTCGGGCCACGTTTCAGCCGGAAGCGGTTCCCGAGGAGCGGAACGATGGCGGGGAGGGCGGGCGGGCCGGCCCAGCGGCCTCCCCCCGGCCCCATTGCTGTCAGGCTAATGAGCCTGTCACAGAAGGCTGCATTCCAAGTGGCAACACTTACTTGGATGAAACAGTGCTAGAAGGTGTAAGAAAAAAATCATATCCTATTTTAATGTAAAAGGGAAAAATTATCCAGCAAGATACAATATCTTCTGCTGCCTTTAGATTATTGCACAGTCGCAGGCCTCTGGGTTTTGGGGCAGAGAAATGGGCCTCAACGCAATTAGATGGAAGATGCTGTTGGGATCTGAAAACTAGGCACTTGTGAGACCATTTACTGGGGTATTCAGAAAGTAATCTTTCTAGAGCATTTTTTCAAATACGTGCCAGCTGATTGATCATACAGCACATTCCTGAAATAATATCTATTCTGGTAAAGGTATAAAATTGACAGCATTGATGCTTCCAACTCTTGTTACATTTGGCTCGTTTTTCAGATGTATAGTGAAAAACTACAGTTTTTTTCTGTAATCAATGGTCTGAGAACTTAGTTAAAATATGGTTTAATGTGTTTTCATTATAAGGATTGCTAGGATTAGGAAAATGTGAGTAGACTTTTTAAGAAAATTTGAGACAAAATTGCTATATAAACTTATACGACGTAATAAATACATACAGCTGTTTGTGGTTCCAACCATCAGCTGGTGCCTTTTGTACTATTTTTCCACTACTCTTAGAGAATATCCTGAGCTTGAAACAATCAGCTTTTGTTTGGAATAAGACTTCTGGACTTGGAAAAACAAAATAATGCAAAATAAATTTATCCTTTCCAAACAGAAACCAAGGAAAAGTACAGATTGCTTTCAAAGGGTTTTTGTTTTTTTTTGGTTTGTTTTCCCTTCTTACATTTTTTTGTGGGGGCAGAGGGGAGGAAAGCGGCGTGTATTTTTGGGTGCAAACCCCGGACTTTGCAAAACAATCTCCGCCCCCAAGAGGATATTTAATCTGCAACAGAAATCGCTACTCGCCGAGGCAAACTTGAGACGGGGAAGGGGTGCAGGGAGCGGAGGAAGGGACCCCTGCCCCGCTCTCGGCCGAGCCCGGCCCTTGCGAGGGAAGATGTGTTTCTCTTTCCCGGCGGCTGCTCTTGGGACGAGACTTTCGTCTGGACTGATCGGGACTGGACTTTTTAAGGACGCGCTTACCCATCTAAGGGCGATTTGAGCATAAACAGCAACGCAAACTCTGATTTGGTGCTGGAAGCTGCCTCTGCCACTGAACAGCTGCTCTCACCCTGCTTCTGTCCCTCCCCCGTCCCATTCTCAAAAGAGGATCCTAAGCTGTTTTGCTGCTTTATTGTTGATTTTTTTTAAATTGTTGTTGCATGAATTTTATTTTAGGTGGTTGTGTTTTTCATCTGGCTTGGCTGTTTTGGGGTCTCACGGACTGCTTGTTGCAGTAACAGCTCCACCGCCTCTCATCATGGCCAGCCCCACCGACAATAACGAGGGCTTCTTCTCAGATGTCAGGAAGGTGGGTTACTTGCGCAAACCCAAGAGCATGCATAAACGCTTTTTTGTGCTGAGGGCAGCCAGCGAGTCTGGACCCGCCCGGCTGGAGTATTACGAGAATGAGAAGAAATGGAGACACAAGTCAGGGGCCCCCAAGCGCTCCATCCCACTAGAAAGCTGCTTCAACATCAACAAACGGGCTGACTCCAAGAACAAGCACCTGGTGGCCCTCTACACCAAGGACGAGCACTTTGCCATTGCAGCTGACAGTGAGCCTGAACAGGAGAGCTGGTACCAAGCGCTGCTGCAGTTGCACAACAGGGCGAAGGGACACCACCACCACCACCATCACCACCACCACCACAGCGACATTACCTTTGGAGGCAGTAATGCGGGACTGGGGGAAGCAGGTGAGGACAGCTACGGTGAGGTAGCCCCTGGCCCGGCTTTTAAGGAAGTTTGGCAAGTAATTCTGAAGCCTAAGGGCCTAGGCCAGACAAAGAACCTGATTGGCATCTACCGCCTGTGCCTGACTAACAAGACCATCAGCTTTGTGAAGCTGAATTCAGATGCTGCTGCTGTGGTTCTGCAGCTGCTCAATATCCGCCGCTGTGGTCACTCTGAGAACTTTTTCTTCATTGAGGTGGGGCGCTCAGCTGTCACAGGGCCTGGTGAGTTTTGGATGCAGGTAGATGACTCGGTAGTGGCGCAGAACATGCATGAAACCATCCTGGAGGCCATGAGAGCCATGAGCGAGGAATTCCGGCCCCGCAGCAAGAGCCAGTCTTCCTCCAACTGTTCCAACCCTATCTCTGTGCCCCTTCGCAGCAGGCACCACGTCAACAACCCTCCACCCAGCCAGGTGGGGCTCAGTCGCCGGTCCAGGACTGAGAGTGTCACAGCCACCTCTCCTGCTGGTGGTGGGGGTGGAGGTACAGGTGGAAAACCCAGCTCTTTCCGGGTTCGCGCATCGAGTGATGGGGAAGGCACAATGTCAAGACCTGCCTCTGTGGATGGTAGCCCGGTTAGTCCCAGTGCCAACCGGACCCATTCGCATAGACACCGTGGCAACTCCAGGCTCCATCCTCCACTCAACCACAGCCGATCCATCCCAATGCCTTCCTCACGCTGCTCTCCTTCAGCTACCAGTCCAGTTAGTCTGTCATCCAGCAGCACTAGCGGCCATGGCTCCACCTCGGACTGCCTGTTTCCACGAAGGTCAAGTGCTTCGGTTTCTGGCTCCCCTAGCGATGGTGGATTTATTTCTTCTGATGAGTATGGTTCCAGCCCATGTGACTTTCGCAGCTCTTTTCGCAGCGTGACACCAGATTCTTTGGGACACACCCCACCAGCTCGGGGTGATGACGAGCTCAACTACATCTGCATGGGGGGTAAGGCCACTTCCTCTTGCTGCAGCCTGGCAGCCCCCAATGGCCACTTCATCCAACGCACCTGCCACCCGCAGCAGCAGCCCCGCTACCCTGGTACACCGTGCTGTCCTCGAGGTGGTAGCGAGGAGGTGACTGACTTGGAGAAGGTCTTCAGGAAGCGGACTCACTCTGCAGGCACTTCACCTACCATCTCCCACCAGAAGACACCGTCACAGTCTTCGGTGGCCTCCATAGAAGAGTACACAGAGATGCTGCCTTCTTACCCCTGTGGCGGGAGCCGGTTGCTCTCCTACCGGCACTCAGCCTTTGTGCCCACGCACTCCTACCCAGAGGAGTGTCTGGAGATGCACCACCTGGATGGCAGCCATCATAGGACCAACTCTGCCCCGCACACAGATGATGGCTACATGCCCATGTCACCAGGTGTAGCCCCTGTGCCCAGTGGCAGGGTGGCCCCCAAGGGTGGTGACTACATGCCCATGAGTCCTAAGAGTGTGTCGGCCCCACAACAGATCATCAACCCTGGCAGGGGGGGCCGTCACCCTCCAGTCACAGTGGACTCCAATGGCTA